CAGCCCAGCTCCAGGTTGAGCTGTTGTTCAGCATCTTAGCTGTGGAGGGCAGTGTCACTGGCCCTCACATGTGGGATCCAAACCGGGGCCCTCTGGCGTCCCAAGCCAGTTCTTAACCATCGTGCCACTCAGCCGGCCCTGTTTGTATATTTTTAATGTAGTTAGGCATAATGCACATTCACTAATGATTTAAAAAAATGTTTCTGTGTGCTTTACATAGGCTTTACAGTGTGTATGAATTCAAACAAATTATTCAGTGAAAATGAATACAAGCAGTGATATACTGATACTTTCATTAAAACACCTGATACAAAAAAATAAAACACCAAACCCAAAACAAACAAAAAAAAGCTATGTCTAGATAAGGTAATAAGCACACAGCAGAATTATGGAAAATCACTGTGTGATCTGAATACTCTAGGGCAGCGGTTCTCAACCTGTGGGTCGCAACCCCTTTGGGGGTCGAACGACCCTTTCACAGGGGTCGCCGGGTACTCGTATGTGGGCGTATCTGCATGTGGGCCTGGAGACGGATGGAGGAGCGGTGTCTTGGTTCCTAAGACCATCGAAAATATGTGTTTTCCGATGGTCTTAGGCGACCCCTGTGAAAGGTTGAGAACTGCTGCTCTAGGGTGACACAGATTAAGTCACATATATAGCTCCATTCTGAAGTGATCCTTTTCTCAGTTTCAAGGATTATATTTAAAAAAATTTTGGCATGCAGTCTAGCTGAACTGAAGCCGTACAACTACTGACATATAGGAGAAGCCACCTCGGGACTTGTAGGAGGGGCAGAGATGCAGAACAGGCTTGGTCCCACACCCGCGTATAACTATTAAAAATCAGGAGGGATATCTCAGCTGTGGAGGTCCCCCACAGAGGAGCATGGGGTCCCAGCCCCACACCAGGTTTCCCAACCCAGGGTTTCCATACTTCTGTTATGTGCCAGGGAGAGAAGGCCCCATAACTTCCGGCTGAGAAAACCAGCAGCGATTGTGGCTGACTTGAGCCACAGGGCAGCTGCCCTCCTAGGTGCTCCTCTTAAAAGACCCATGTATGGACTTATGCATTGATGGACTCATTCACTCTGAGCTCCGGAGCTGGGGCAGCAGCTCAAAAGCCACCAGGGACATATGGAGAGGAACTGAGTCTGGCTTCAGGGTGAGGAATGGAGGGGAGCAATTTTTTCCCTAGGGAGGGGTTGGTGGAAGCCATTGTTTCTTTGTTGAGCCCTCCTCCTCCCTGTGTGCAGACACAGGCAGACGGCATATCTAAGTCTCCATAAAACTGGCTAACTTTTGTCTGCCCAGTGCTAGTGATTCCCTGAGACACGGCCACACCCAACTTTCAGATGCACCCAAGCAGCTTCCAGTGGTTTTCCCATGCAAACAACATGTCTTAGTTTATGCAGCAGACTTTCATAAAATCTCTCAAAGGTTCACAAAACACAAACAAGCAGTACCTGGCTTTGGTGTGTCTCATAACTCTGGCTGAGCAGCCCTAAACCTGGCACTAGACACAGCTGGCCTCGGTTCACAGGTTGGACTCTCAAGGCACCTCCAAGCCCAGTGTGGGTGGTAACCATCTGCAGATTGCTTTGTGACTCATACCAGGTGACCCAAGGTGGGGCACAGGCTTCAGCTAAACTTGGGCTGCAGCCGGTCTCCACCCAGGAGGCCCCAGGGATGGCATGCCTCGTGGCCAGATTTGGACCAAGCCAGAGCATAACCTGGGAACCTCCAAGGATGACACACCTAAAGGGAAGGCAGCAGAGCCCTGCTGAAGCGAACTCTGCTCTGTAGGGTCAGCCCTTGTAATACAGCTCCATCACTGTATTCACAGCCAGTCCTCAAAACCAATCAGCCTGAGGGTCAATCCCTCCCACTGATGTGCAAGTGGCAACCAAGGCTCAACTACAACAGGAGGGCACCCACAACCCACACAAGAGCACACCTGGAGCACCTGATTCTGGTGACAAGGAAGAGTGGAACCCTGGGTCCCACAGATCATCTACTACAAAAGGCCACTCTATCTACTAAGATCAGGAGGTATAGCAGCCCTACCTTAAATGTAGAAACAAACACAGGGAGGCAGACAAAATGGGGAGACAAAGAAACGTGTCCCAAATAAAAGAAAAGAACAAAGCTCCAGAAAAAGAACTAAACAAAATGGAGACAAGCACTCTATGAGATGTAGAGTTCAAAACACTGGTTATAAGGATGCTCACTAATCTCAGGGAGAAATTCAATAAAGAGAGAGAAAACATAAAAATGGAGATAGAAAACATAAAATGTACCAGTCAGAAATGAAGAATACCTGAAATGAAGACTACATTCATGAAGTAGGATATCAAATCAGCGATTTAGAAGATAAGGTAGCAGAAAATACCCAATCAGAACATCAAAGAGAAAAAAGAATCCAAAAAAAGAATAAAAAACTATGAGAATAGTTTAAGAGGTCTCTGGGACAACAGCAAGCATAACAACATTTACATCATAGGGGTACCAAAAGGAGGAGAGAGCAAAGAATTGAAAACCTATTTGAAGAAAAAATGATGGAAAATTTCCCTAACCTGGCAAAGGAAATAGACATACAAGCACAGAACGTGCAGGGTCCCAAACAAAATGACCCCAAAAAGGCCCACACCAAGACACATCATAATTAAAATGCCAAAGGTTAAACACAAACACAGAATCTTAAAAGCGGCAAGAGAAAAGCAGTTAGTTGCCTACAAGTGAGCTCCCATAAGATTGTCAGCTGATATCTCAACAGAAACTTTTCAGGCCAGAAGAGGGACTGGAATGAAATATTCAGTGATGAAAAGCAAAGACCTACAATCAAGATTACTCTACCCAGAAAAGCTGTCATTTAGAATTGAGGGGCAGATAACAAGTTTCCCAGGCAAGAAAAGGCTAAAGGAATTCATCACCACCAAACAAGTAGTACAAGGAATCTTAGAGGGACTTCTTTAAGATGACAAAAAAAAAAAAAAAATCAAAACTATGAATAAAATGGCAATAATTATATATCTGTCAACAATTACTTTCAATGTAAATGGATTAAATGCTCCAATGAAAAGACAGGGTGGCTGAATGGATAAGAAAAGAAGACACATATACTGCCCACAAGAGACTCATTTCAGATCAAAAGACACAGGCTGAAAGTGAAAGAATGGAAAAAAGATATTTCATGAAAATGAAATAATAAAAATAAAAAGTTGAGGTAGTAATATTTATACCAGATAAAATAGACTTTAAAACAAAGGCTATAACAAGAGACAAAGAAGGTCATGGTAGTCCTACTTCTGGGTATTTATACCAAGAAACCCAAAACACTACTTTGAGGGGACAAATGCATCCTTATGTTCATTGCAGCATTGTTTACAATGGCCAAAATGTGGAGGCAGTCTGAGTGCCCGATGATGGGTGAATGCATAAAGAGTAGGTGGTACATATGCGTATATACAATGGAATTTTGAGTTCTCAAACCACTGTCTGTCTATGCCTGTAAATTAAAATAAATTCAAAATAACTATCTAAGGAAAATGTAACTCCCTTTCAGGCTGCTATCCTAAGGCTCCACGATTTGTCCTAAGAGAATACCAAACCTATCACCAACTCAACCGATGATTACCTTGAACTCCACTTTTCGCTGGTTATGAGAATAGCTATACTCCAGGTACATCTGAAGGAATATAATCTCTTGACAAAGAAAGCATAAGAAAAAATTTAGGTGAAGAGACACACAAATGAAGGATAGCCATTCACAAACATGCTTAAGACAGAAGAGTATGTCTTTTGGATGCAGCCAAGTTTGAAATAATGAAAAAAAGTTACAGAGTGATGTATAACAGGCAGTGATTATAAATTCCACCTTAATAAAGAGATTGGGGGTGGGGGCAGCCAAAATATATTAATGTGCTTCATTTGGTGCTTTATAAGTAAAAATTTTTCATGATGTTACTAACATAAAATAAGTGAAGGAATACAGGCCTGAGTCAGGTGAAAGCATCTTTTATGATGACGATTATCACAAAAGTTTAATATACAAAAAAACTACTTTTCCTATAACTTAATCTTTATTTTGTAAAATAAAAATTCTAAAGGTACTGCCTCTTATGGTCTGGAAAAATTATCTTTATAACACAAAACGCTACCTTAAAGAAAAATAACATAAAAATCTACTTCAACCACATCAGGTATTGATTATGAAAATACTTATATTCAGAAGAAATTCTCAGTGCAACTATGTTGGCAACACTCACAAGTTATTACATTTGTTGTCTGATCCTATCAGGGCATTACAAATTTTTTGATTCTGAGTAATGGAGCCTAACATCAAAGTAAGTTTTCTTCACTTACCCTTGCATAGTGGAATTCAACTCCATAGAGTTCTAAGGTACGTGCAGTGTTCAGATAATTAAATTCTGCTTCTGCAGGAGATAAGCCTCTGTAAAGACATCATTAGGTTAAAAACTAAATCAATCACAAATATGGACAAATTAGAAAAAGGTTATTTATCTGGGAAATTTTCAGCATTCTAATTAAATCTTTTACAAAACACCATGCATAACTAACTCTTAGTTCTGTAGTGTAACATTTAACTTATGTGGAGTAACATTTTCAGTAACACAAATTATTATTTCGTAGAATATTTTCTTACTTTCCAGAGATATAAGAATGCACCAATTTTAAAAGTCCCTAGCTGTTCCTATGGCTGTTCCAAAGTCACTCACTCTTAGACACAACTTAAAAGAATAACTTGTTCACAATTTGGTGTGCACACCATAGCTGCATTTAAATCACAGAGTGCTCCTGAAACATGCATATTCTGAGGAAACCTCCAGAGCAGTGCTTCTCAGAGAATGGTGCACAGATAGGTGATGACTCAACAAATACAGAAATTGAGAGTGTCAGAATCTTTTATAGAACTTTGGTAGGGTAATTTTATGTCTGTTGAATCTAACAATAAAAAAAGGAAACTTGTAATTTTTATGTCTTTGTGTATTTCTACATTTTACTTTTCTAGTAATTCATTTTTATTATATTTAGAAGTATAGTTCCATGACAGGCTGGGAAAAATTCATCTTTCATCACAGATAATTCCAAAAGTACTGTTCTATAGATTCTGATATAGAATGGATGGGGTCCAAATTGTTTATATTTAAGAAATATCCCATGTGATTCTATGAACACAAGTTTTAGAACTATAGCTTTAAATGCCAAACCTTTAAAAACTGATTTACTTCTATATTATGTACTGTTCTAACAACTTTTTACCTGATATTATCAGATACAGCAGAGCAAAAGCAGCAAATAACAAGCAAAGATATCAACCTTTCATTCACTAATGATACTAGAAAAGAAAGCCAACAGCCTGCCAATGCATGATCATTAAAATAAGATTCCTCAAAAAAAGCAAATATAATCCTGTTTTCTACAAAATTCCATTAAGCTAAATACTCTACCTTCCCATTCTACCCCCAGTTAAACAAGATGATATTATTTTTGTTTAAAGATTTGAGAAAACATTTCTTTAAATCAAACATCAATTTATAATCAATACCTTGTCAAATGTACAATCTTTTCCTTACAGAAGAGACTTTTCATTATTGGTAAATTTTTTAAAAATCAGGTTTATCATCAAATCTTTGATTCAGAACTTTTATTACAAATCTCATTTACTTTTAGACCAAAATTAGCACACTCACCACATTAAGCCAGTTTATTAAAATCCTCATTCATTAGCCTTATTTTAGATTAGGGGACAGCAAACTTTTACGGGAAAGAGCTGGACAGTAAACACTAAGCTTTCAGGCCACATAGTCTCTGTTGCAACTATTCAACTCTGATGTTATGTGAAAGCAACCACAGACAACATGTAGATAAAAAGAGGGAATCTGTGTTCCAATATGTGTTCATTTATGGACACAGAAATTGGAATTTTAAAAAATTTGACATGACACAAAATGTTATTCTTTTTTTGATTTTTTTCCAACTATTCAGAATGTACAAACCACTCTGGGTCAAGATGGTGGAATAGTTAAATGCTGTGCTCATCTTCTCCCACAACCACATCAAAATTACAACTAAACTACAGAACAATCATCACTGAGAATTGCCTGAAGCCTAGCTGAACAGAAGTCCTATAACAAAGGACATACAGAAGAAGCCACTTCCAGACTGGTAGGATGGGCAGAGAAGTGGAAAGGCTGGTCCCACACCCATGTGTGGCAATTAAAAATTGGGAGGGATATCTTGGCCTTAGAAATCCCCCAAGGAGCGAGGGGTCCCAGCCCCACACCAGGCTCCCCACCTCGGGGTTCCAGTGAAAGGAAGAGAAGTCCCCATAACTTCTGGCTGAGAAGACCAGCAGAGATTCTGGCTGAGTAAGATGGAGGGCTGCTAGAATCCCAGGTGTTCCTCTTAAAAGGCCTGCACATGGACTTACTTGCTAACAGACTGACTCTGAGCTCTAGGGCTGGGGCAGCAGTGCTAAAGGCATCAGGGACATAAGTGAAATAAATGAATTGTCTGGCTTTATGGCAAGGGCTGGAGGGGTAGCTTTTTACCAGACAGACGTGCTGGCAGAAGTCATTGTTCCTTCATTGAGCCCACCCCACAACTCAGCCACCATGGGCAGGTGGGGTGGCATATCTGAGTCTCCATCACCCCCCAGTTAATACCGTTTGCCCTAACCTGGTGATTCCCTGAGACCCTGCCCCACATAATTTGTGGACCTACCCAAGTGGATTTCGGTGGCTCTGCCATAAAAATGGACCTGTCTTCACTCATACTGTGGACTTTCCTAAAATCTCTCAAAGGATCACAAATGGCAAACAAGCAGCAATCTGGCCTCAGCATGCGCAATACATCCTGGTAAGCAAGCCCAAACCCAGCACTAGCAGCAACAGGCTTCGGTTTGCAGCTTAGCCTTTCCCAGGCACCTCCTAGCCAAGTAGAAGTGGCAGCTATCTGCAGATCATGTTGTAGCTCATGTCAGGTAGACCTGGGCAGGGCACAGGCAGCAGCTGACCTTGGCCTCCATCAGACCCCTCCCGAGAGGCCTAAGAACCAACATACCGCATAGCCCTCTTCAGACCACATGAGAGCACCTCCCAACCATGTTCACAAATGACACACCCAAAGGGCAAACTCGGCAGGCACCAGAGCCCGGCTAAAGTGCATCCTGCCCCATAGAGTCAGCCCCTGCACAACAGCTTCTCCACTGTAGCCACGGCCAGTCCTCACAGCCAATTGCCCTGAGGGTCAATCCCTCCCATTGACATGCTAACGGCAATCAAGACTCAACTACAACAGAGGGGGCACACACAATACATACAAAAGACACACCTGGAGCACCAGGCTGAGGTGACCAATGAAACTGCACCACTGAGCCCCACAGCACACCTACTACATAAGGCCACTCTACTAAGACCAGGAGACATAGCAGTTCTATCTTATACATAGAAACAAACTCAGGGAGGCAGTAAAGTCAGGAGACAAAGAAATATGTCCTAAATGAAAGGAAAGAACAAAACTCCAGAAAAAAATCTAAACAAAATAGAGATAAGCAATCTCAGACACAGAGTTAAAAAAACTGGTTATAAGGATGCTTAATGATATCAGGAAAAACTTCTACAAAGAGACAGGACACATAAAGATGGAGATAGAAAACATAAAAAACAACCAGTCAGAAATGAATACAATAACTGAAACAAAGAATATATTAGAAAGAATCAACAGATTAGATGAAGCAGAGGATCAAATCAGTGATTTAAAAGATACAGTAGCAGAAAACACCCAATCAGAATGACAAAAAGAAAAAGATTCCAAAAAAATGAGGATAGTTTAAGAGACCTCTGGGACAACATCAAGCATACGAACATTTGTATCATAGGGATACAAGAAGGAATTAAAAACCTATATGAAGAAATAATGATGAAAACTTCCCTAACCTGGTGAAGGATACAGATGTACAAGCCCAGGAAGCACAGAGCGTCCCAAACAAGACAAACCAGAAATGGCCCACAGGAAAGCACATCATAATTAAAATGCAAAAGATTAAAGACAGAGAAAGAATCTTAAAAGCAGCAGAAGAAAAGCAGAGCTCACATTAGACTATCAGCAGCTTTCTCAACAGAAACGTTGCATGCCTGAAGGGATTGGCATTGGCAGGAAATATTGAAAGTGATGAAAAGCAAGGACCTACAACCAAGATTTCTCTACCCAACAAAGCTATCATTTAGAATCAAAGGACAGATAAGGAGCTTCCGAACGAAGAAAAAGCTACAGGAGTTCATCACCACCGAACCACTATTACAAGGAATCTTAGAGGGATTGCTTTTAAGAAAAATAAATAAATAAATAAATAAATATGAATAAAATGGCAATAACTACATATCTATCAACAATTACTTTAAATGTAAATGGATTAAATACTCCAATGAAAAGGAAGGGTGGCTGAATAGATAAGAAAACAAGACCCTTACATATGCTACCTATAAGAGACTCACTTCAGATCAAAAGGCACACACAGATGTAAAGTAAAGGGATGGAAAAATTTATTTCATGAAAGTGAAAAAGAAAACAAAAAGGGGCAGTAGCAATACTTATACCAAATGAAACAGACTTTAGAACAAAGGGTATAACAAGAGACAAAGAAGGACCCAGAGATTCCACTTCTGGGTATTAATCCGGAAAAATCTAAAACACTACTTTGAAAGGACATGTGCATCCATATGTTCATTGCAGCATTATTTATTAATAGCCATGATATGGCAGCAACCTGGATGTCCATCACTGAGCCATAAAAAAGAATAAAATCTTACCATCTGCAACAACATGGATGAAACTAGAGGGTATTGTACTGAGTGGAGTTAAGTCAAGCAGAGAAAGACAAATGCCATATGATTTCACTTATACGTGGAATCTAAAGAATAAGATAAATAAACCGAAACAAACTCATAGATACAGAAAACATTTTGAGGGTTGCCTGATGGGAGAGGTGCTGGGGAAATCACTGAAAAGGTGAGGGGATTAAGAAGTACAAATTGGTAATTATAAAATAGTCATGGGGATGTAAAGTATAGCATAAGGAATATAATCAATAAAAATATGCCAACTATACATGGTTTCAGATGGGTACTAGATTTATCAGGGTGACCACTTCCTAAGTAACATAAATGTCTAATCACTACATTTTACACCAGAAACTAATATAATATGTCAACTGTAGTTGAAAAAATTTTTTTAAAGTTTACCAAATAAGTAGAAAAGTATATAAATCCTTACGTATGTTGTTGATGTAATTTTGCAATTTCTTTTTCAAAATCTTGAGGTTGATTAGGAATGAAAGAATAATCTGAGAGGTAGCCTGGCAAGTTTTCTGACTGATTGTAGTCTCCAAGTTCAGCTAATAAATGAACAAAAGAATTCACATTTTAATAAACATATTTTTTCAATTTCTATAGCCAAATCAGCCATGTCATGAATTCCATTATATTTCTGCAAGTAAAATATTTGTTTCTACTGTTATCATTTAAGCAAGTTATAACAATGCATTTAACGTTCTTCTAGGTCTCAAATACCTTTAGAATTTTTTTTTTTTTAGCAATCAAAATAATAACTAATTGGATGTTTCATTACATTTCCTCTGCAGTCACTTTCTTTAGTAGAGTAACATATGTCTAAAGAGCTCATACACTAAAGGCAATGTATTATCAACACAGACCATGCAATTATATGCCATGACTCAAAAGTGGGCTTATATACTTACACTGAACAGCAAATGAAGCCAAAAGGGCAGCAGTATTACACGGACAAGGCAATCTGATAACACAAAACAGAAAATACATAACCCAAGGTTAAACACAATAATTTCCAAAGCACTATATATTACACTATTCACACTGGAAATTTCCATGCGACTTATGTTTTATTTATTAAGTAATGAACTTATTAATGAAAGGAATTCATGCTCTATGTAACCATTTTTCAATAGATAAGTTTGCAATGATCATGAATTACTTAAGTAATACAGAATTAAGAGTATTTTTTAACTCCATTACTAAAAATTTAAAATAGCCCACCTTCCAGTAAGAATGTCTTGTTTAATTTGCAAAAAATACTGGTACCTTAAAAAAAAAAAAAGATAGCATTTATTGAAATTATAACATTTAGAATTTTAAAACTGCATACATTAATAAAATTGAAATATTTAAATATTTCCTTCTATAATATACATATTAGCACATGAAAAGATATTTTAAAAGTAAGCTTTCATAAATTCATGAATCCAAGTCTTTACAATTCTTTGATAAATAAAATTTTGTATTGCAAATATCTTGTTTCCACTAGCTCTATTATAAAACTCCTAAACTTTTCAAAGAGTTACATGACCAAGGGAGAAGATTAGGGAGAAATACTCTGAGAAATACTTATCAGTAGACTTATGGGCTGAGTCTTAATTACTATTAAACTTGATTTTACTTTCTTCTACTTTAGGAAGATATTCTGATTTGATTTTCAGAGAGAGACATTTATTCCTTGATTGTGTTTTCAATATAGGCTATAAAAGAATCAACACATTCAAGCTCTATTAAGAAATTCAAAGACAGTTTTTTGAGTGATGCAAATTATGAATATGGCTTTAATTGACAATAGTTTAATTGCTTCTGCTAACAAACTTCATAAACATTAAATACATTAGAAATCCAATTTAAAATTATTGGTCTTTTAATTACAAATAGTTCTTATACATTTAAAAATCTGATCATTAAAATACGTATTATGGAATACTTTGCTACTTGAGTTCAAGTTATATGTACCAGGAAATAATAAAAGACATTTAAAAATGCTTTATAATTCATAATTTTCATTAATTTAGAGTAATTTCCTTGAAGTTCATCCAAAATTAAGTTTTATCGCACTAAGAAACTTGTTATTTTATTTAACAACAACAAAACCTAAGAGCTACAGTATTAAACTAAAGTGTGTTCATATGATAAACTTTGCTATTCAAGATAAATTAGCTTAGATACTACTAGTTTCAAATGTTGGGACTGCTCAATCAATGGCCTATACACCCGAGTTCCCCTGTTATAAAAAAGGTAATACCCTGCCACCCAACAAACACACAGAAAAGTACTCTGAAGGTATTTTCTTAACTGGGCTACTGAAAACCCTACTTCACAAACACCTGAGAACTGGCAGGTCCAGCTAAATATCTTTAATTATTCTTTTGTTTCTATACTTTACCACGGTATTCTGAATGATAACCAGCACATTCACATGTAACAGCCTATCTACAGATTTTTAGGTACAGATTTTTAATATGGCAAATATAGAGTAATTCTGAATATAGTTACTGACTTTTATGGAAGGTATATATAATGTTCTAATTTTTTATTCTTTTTTTTAATGAATTACTAATTATGTCTTTCAAGCAACACACCAGATTATCATTCGGTTATTTAATAATGATAGTTACAACACTGTGATTATTCCCTACTATTTATACTTTAAACAGCTCACTTAACATTCACAATCAAAATGCTCATCTGGGTCATTCTTGTGTATACAGCATTTCCAATCTGCAGTTGGGAATCCATGTATGCGGAAGGCTAACTTAAGTTATACGTGGATTTCGACTACACAGGTGGTTGATGTCTCTAAACCCCATGTTGTTCAAGGGTCAACTTTTACATGGAAAAAAAAGCAGGTACAATTCTCACTATGCAGCACCACTTAAATACAACTGTAGCATCATCTGATTACAATTAGTTACAGCAATGCTGCTTAACCATTTTTTCACAAGTAGAAAATTTTAATATTTATGTATCTCAGGAGGCTGTTTGTGGCTGGATGGGGCGGCCCTGGGTTCCAATCTCATAAAGCCCTCCTAGTTATCCAAGAGGAGAGGAAACTGTTACCTTGAAACTGTTATCTATGGTTATAGATATAACCATCCTGTATGCTGGCTGGTAAACTAAAAATTATGGCACGCTAATCTATTATTGCCTAATAATTCAAAATTTAGTAATAGTTTTGACAATATTTTTAAGAAAAATATGCTGCATAAACCCACCTTGTATATTCTTCCTGTAACTTGTTGGGGTCACTTACAAAAAATTTGACTCTAAAGTTCAAACTGTAAGGAGATCCTCCTAGAATTAATAAAAGCAGTTCTAATTAATCAGATTATATTAACCCTTTATCTTTATAAAGCATACTTGAAAAATATCAAGTAAATATGTATGCTCACTCTTTAGCTGCTTTCTTATTGGTTTGTTTGGATCCAGCCACCTCTGAAAAATAAATAAATAAGACTGATTTCATTTTTTCCTTGAGGAACTAATACATCAATTCATGCAAATCTGTTGCATTTGAAGATTAATACTAAAAACTGTTTTCTAAAAAAGGCCTAGAAAAAAATCATTGTTATAGACATTGATATCAAATATAACAATTAAGCTAGAAAAGCACTGAATGTACAGTGGTAGCTTTAAGATTTTGATTTTAATTTCCCATTACACGTGCGTGCAATCATATCTATTCCAAAAGTAAAAGTCCTTAATAATCACAGCAATCTACAGTGATTTCTGTTCATTTAACTATATTATTTAACAGTCTGAAGCTTTAAAAATTATCTTTCAGAAAAATGTGCTTGGCCTTATGCTCTCACAGATTAAATTTAACTATACAACATAAAAATCTACTCCTAACAAAAATTTTTTAACCTCTACCCTATTCTTTAAAAAATAAACTACACCATTACCCCCAAAAGAAAACCACACTAATTTTGCAAGAGATAATGTTTAGTTTTGGGAAATGTGAGAATTCTAAGTAGTCTCAACACTTCTGAATCCCAGTTAAGCTCTGTTTTAGAAAAACTATAACTGAATTTAAAAATTATTTCAACTGCTAACGTTTCAATTAAAAAAATTAAAGAACCCAAAATTAGGTAATAGATGTGGCAGTATTTTCAAAGCACTACACAAACTTAAGCTTATGTTTCATTATTTATAAACCTTACTCTTACCTCCCATACCTGATTCCATGAAAAGCACATAGATTTTAATAACAAATGGCTAGGAGGAACAATCCATGAATCTCTTCTTTCCATTATCCCTACCATCCAACACATCAAATCCAGCTATTCTACCTTCAAACTATACTTAGAATTTAGCAATTCTCCATTTACTCTGCCACCATCCTTATTTCTGGCATAGCTCTGGCCACAGCCACTTAATTGCTGTCCCTGATTCTTTTCTTACCATCTTCATCCTCCATCTAGAAGCTAGAATAGTCTTTTAAAAGTAATACCACTCCTTTGCTTAATATCTCTTGATAATTTCTCAATGCAAGGTCCAAAGTCTTTAGCATGGTATCTTCTTACCTCTTCTACTTCAATTTCCTAAGTAAGCTCCAGCCATAATGGTATCCTTTCTGTTACTCGAAGATGCCATCTTAGGGCCTTCAATTCCAAGCTTCCTTACGCACCGAATATCCTTCTCCAGCTTTCCCATGGCAGACTCCTTTCATTACCTGTGTCTCAGCTTAAATGCGACCTCCTCAGAAAGGTCTTCACTGACAACTCTACCAAAAGTATGTCACAAAGCTCCTATTTTCTTAGCTATTTTCTAGAAACAGGCAAGGAACATTAAATTCTTTCATATTTTCATTGTAATATGTTTGTTTTACCTTTTTATTGCCTATCTCCTTCATTAGATTATGAACTCCATGAAGTAAGGCATAGAAATCTGATTCATCCAAAGATGAACAGTCAGCACCTAGCACAGGACTTGGCATACAATGTCTATTAAAAATATCTGGTGAAGGACTGACTAAACCTGCTGAATGACTCAACAGTTTTCTTGTGGGGGAGGGGGGTATTTCTGTGCCAATATTTAGCCACTTTCTATTCCTACTTAATTTGTTTCCCCTATATATCCACACATTAACCCGTCTTCTTACTCATCTATTAAAATAGTGATTTTGTTCTTCACAATTTATAGAAAAGGTCATAAATTACTTTCATTTTAATACTTGTTTAAAATCAAAATTTGGGATCAGTTAATCTTCAAAACCTGCTTTCCTCATTTAGTCCCCCTTCAAAATATTCTGATGTCAGAGATACAAACACATTTACATACACATATAGATGTATTAAACTGACATTGCTTAGAAGGAATACAATGATAAGCACTGGGAAATTTAATAGAACTCATTAATGATGTAAATGAAATAGGACTTAGGATCTTGGCTTAAACCAAAAAGATGGAGCAATGCTATAACAAGCACCATTGGCCAGTAAAGATAGCATTCATAGTAAAAATATATCATTATGTCAAAAGAAAAACAAAGTGGGGGAATAAAGTATATAAAAAAATTCTAGAGCCCTTTTGCGGCCATTGCTGAAGCAGCAGTGGCCAAAATGAAGTTCAACCTCTTTGTGACTTCTGACCGGAGCAAGAACCGTAAAAGACATTTCAATGCACCTTCCCACGTTCGCAGGAAGATTATGTCTTCTCTTTCCAAAGAGCTGAGACAGAAGTACAATGTTCGATCCATGCCCATCTGAAAGGATGATGAAGTTCAGGTTGTCCAAGGACACTACAAAGGGCAGCAAATTGGCAAAGTAGTCCAGGTTTACAGGAAGAAATACGTCATCTACATTGAACGAGTGCAGCGGGAAAAGGCTAACGGCACAACAGTTCATGTGGGCATTCACCCCAGCAAGGTGGTTATCACTAGACTAAAGCTGGACAAAGACCGCAAAAAGATCCTTGAACCAGAAAGCCAAATCTCGCCAAGTAGGAAAGGAAAAGGGCAAATATAAGGAAGAAACAATTGAGAAGATGCAGGAATAAAGTAATTTTATATACAATAGTTTTCATTAAAAACTGTTAAAATGGAAAAAAAAATTCTAGAAATCAATAAGAAAAAAGCCAACACTAATAGAAAATCAAGCAATGGAGAAGAACAGAATGTTCACAGGAAAGGAAAAAATAAACATTTAAATATATGAAAAGATATTTAATCTTGATTATAATTACATAAATATAAAAGTAATCTGCATTAGATTATCATTTTTCAACAATAACACTGGCGAAGATTAAAATTTTTTTTTTAAGATTTTATTGGGGAATTGGGGGAGGGGAACAGCATTGAGGAATCGGGGAAGGGAAGCAGACAAGTTGCTGTCCTTTTGTTCTTCAGTCTAGTTGTGGAAGATGTCGCTTCACTGGCCCATGTTGGCATTGTGATCACTGCGCTCTTCCCGGCTGAGGCAGTCGCTCACTGGCCATTGGACGTTCGCTCATGAAAGCACACGCCAACTGCCGGCCAGCCCCACTGCAGCCTACAACTCATGGCAGCCCAGTTCTAGCGACTCATGGCAGCCCAGTTCTAGGCCGGGCTGTTGTTCACCATCTTAGCTCTAGAGGGCGCAGTGTCACTGGCCCTCAATGTGGGATCCGAACCAGGGCCCTGCTGCTCAGAGCTGGCATTCCAAGCCAACTCCTAACCAATGCACCATTCGGCTGGCCCAGATTAAAATTTTTAATGACATACCACAATGGCAAAAATGTGAGGAAAACAGGCACTTTTACATAGCTTGTGAGGATACAAATTCACCATTTTAAAGTATGCACATCAGTGCACCTTAGTATATTCACTATGTTGTACAACCATCGACACTAAATAATGTCAGAATATTAGCATCACCCCAAAAAGAAATCTCGTTTCATTAGCAGTCAGTCCCAATGCCCCTCTACACACAGCCCTTAGCAACTACTTATCTACTTACTGTCTCTATAGATTTGTCTATTTTGGACATTTCATATGGATGCAATTGTACAATAGGTGGTCTTTTGTGTCTAGCCTCTTTCACTTAGTCCTTATCCCTTATCAATATCCCACCCTTATCAATAGGGGATATGTTCCAAGACCCCCAACGGATGCCTGAAACCACAGGTAGTACTGAACCTTGTATGTACTATGTTCTTTTCTATCATACATAGCTATGATAAAGTTTAATTTATAAATTAGGCACAGTAAGAGATTAACAACAATAACAAATAATAAAATAGAACAATTACAACAACATACTGTAATAAAAGATGTTACAATGAAGACGTGTTATAATTAAAGTATCAAAAGTTAAAGACAAGGAGAGAATCTTAAAATGCAGCAAGAAAAAAAACAATTTGTTATGTAAAATGGAAACCCCCATAAGCCTATAAGCAGATTTTTCAGCAGAAACTTTGCATGCCAGGAGGCAGTAGCACAATAAATTCAAAGCACTGAAAGACAAAAAATGCCAACCAAGAATACTCTACCCAGCAAAGTTGTCCTTCAGAATTCAAGGTAAGAGTTTTCCAGACAAGCAAAAGCAAGAAGGAATTCATCACCATCAGACTGGTCTTACAAGAAATGTTAAAGGGACTTCCACAAATAGAAATGAAAGGGCACTAATTATTAACTGGTAAACATACAAAAGCATAAATCTCACTGGTGCAGGTAATTACAGAATAAAATTCAGAATAATCTAATGTTGCAAAGGTGGTAGATTAATCACTTATAAAACTAGTATGAAGGTTAAAAGACAAAACTAGTAAAAATAAATATAACCACAATAATTTGTTAATGGATACACAAAGTAAAAAAGATGTAAACTGTGACATAAAAAACATAAAACATGAGAGGGAAAGTAAAAATGCAGAGGTTTAGAATGTGTTCAAATTTAAGTTTTCATCAACTTAAAATAAGACTGTTAAAAATATAAGTTGTTTTATGTAAGCTTCATACTAATCACATAGCAAATATCTACAGTAGATACACAAAAGATAAAAAGAAATCTAGCATACCACCACTACAGAAAATCATTAAATCACAAACAAACAAAACAATTAACAAATGGTAATAATTACATACCTATCAATAATTATTTTCAATGTAAATGAACTAAATTCTCCAATAAAAAAACAGAGTGGCTGAGTAGATTAAAAAACAAAATCTATCTATATGCTACCTACAAGAGACTAACTTCAGATGTAAAGACGTACAGACTGAAAGTAAAAGGATGGAAAAAATATTCCTTGCAAATGGAAATCAAAGAAAGCTGAGTAGCTATATTTATATAAGACAAAATAAACCTTGAGACAAAGATTGTAATAAGAGACAAAGAAAGTCATTATATAATGACAAAGGGGTCAATCCAACAAGAGGATATAACATGTGTAAATATTTATGTACCTAACATAGAAGCACCTAAATAGATAAAGTAAATATTAACACACCTAAA